AACTGTCTTACTCTCCACTCTTTTTTTTTTTTTTTTCAAAATCTTTGTCAATATATACTTAAGACAGAAAAGTTGAAGGAAAATCTATCTAACACAAGCCTTGCTTTACAAATTTATGCGTTCAGGTTTTCAAAGACAGCCAAACATCTTCTGTATACTTTTAATTCTCAGTTATGTATTGACAATGACAAAAAATGCAGCAATGTATTACAACAGATACATCAAAATTAAACAGAGACCCAAAAGCAACAGGTTAAAAAACCAAAACAACAGGGCTTTTGGGAAGGTAATACTACTGCTACTTCATTCCTATACTTATTGTTCATTACTATTATGCTCCAGTAACTGCTCTTTTGATTTTTATTCTGTGTTTTTTATTGTATATAAGGGCTTGGTACCTACAGAAATTATATGTATTCTATATATGTATTCAAAACCATTATTCCGATTTTGAATAAATGACACTTTTCATACCCTTTAAGGCATCAGAATTATTCAGCCATGGCCTACAAAACCAAATGGGAAAAAAATTCATGTCCATAATTACATTTTTTCATCTTGATAATTATTGCATTTGCAATTCAGCACATTATTATTGAGGCATGTATGTTGGCAATTTTTGGCTGTGGTACTGCTAATAATGCCTACTACGTTTAAAGAAAAGTGATCAAGTCCCTGGACACATTTTGATTAGCTCTATAATGAGATATTTAAAATATATTTTTAAACCTAAAGCATCTATTCAGAGACAAAAACCTAATAAACAAGTTAAGTCTAGTGTAGGTCACTTAACCCTCATCTGTCAAAAATGAGGGCAGCTCTTCAAACACGGCAGGATTCTGCTAGCAAAGTAAGGTTATCCTATCACTTCCACTTCCCTTGTTCTTTTCGCTTCAACAGCATTTTATTAAATTGATTCAAGACATATTCCCTGAAGGCCTCACAGTGGACTCGTATTCTACATCAGCTAGACAGAAGAGTTTGTTTTGCTATATTCAAGGTTAATTAAAAATAAATAAATTATAAAATGCTAAAACAAAAAGGAATGAAACACACTTAAAAACTTAGGTTTTCACCCTGCATAACACACAAATATAATAAGCCCTAAGAAAGAAGCTCTATCAGGTTAGTGACATCAGCTGTTATCAAAGCCACCTGGAAATTCTTACTTAAGACTATTTTCAGTTGCCTTTTGAACTACTCAGTATGAAATTTTCCATGTCTACTGTTTGCTTCAGGTAGCTTTTCCTTTTCCCTCCCCTAAGCACCACCTTTTAAAGGAACCCAGGGAATGGCTGGAACGTATTTCTACTGTGAAAGAACCTGAGAGACTGCAACCCCTTTCCTGCCCTGAATCAGTAACTTGAAGTCATAGAATCATAGAATCATAGAATCATAGAATAGATTGGGTTGGAAAAGACCTCCAAGGTCATCAAGTCCAACCCCTGATCCAACTCCAATTACTATATCATGGCACTAAGGGCCACATCCAATCTCTTTTTAAAAACTTCCAGGGATGGTCAGACCAGACAATGCTTTTTTAAGAAAGAGGTACACTGTGCTCTTTTTGTGAAAATATGACCTGACTTAGCCAAGGCACAAGCTTCTACAAATCAGAGTTTGTACCTATTTTTGGCAAGATCTGCTGGAGCTTAACAACCAATCACCAAACACCCTCAGTGGCCTTCTGTATGTCATCTGAATGTGCAAGGCAACTGAATTAAGTTTCCTCTAACCTCTAGTTATGAGTGGAGAGTTCGATTTTCACTGCAAAAGAATCATGGAATATTCTGAGTTGGAAGGAACCCAAAAGGATCTTCAAGTCCACCTCTTTGATGAGTTGGCCCATTCAGGGATTGAACACACAGCATTGGCATTATTAGCACCAGGCTCTAACAGAGTTAATTTCAGGGTCAAGTCTACATTTAACAAGCATTAGGTAAAACACTAAACACAAAGTGTTTATCACCTTGCATATTTCTGCAGCCTCAACTATGCTGATATCCCTTACACAGTTGAAAACAGTGGCCTGTCACTTCATATTGCTGGGTAATTGAGGAGAATTTAGGGTAGACAAAAGATGGAAAAAACAGCTTGTAGTGGAGACCAGAATTGGATGCTTGAAAGAATAAACTGAGATTGACTATACAATGAAAGAAACTAAGATGAATGTAAGATGGGGAAGTGGATTAAACCAAAATCAGCAATGCCAAGCAGAACTATGCAGACCTGGGGATCGCCAGGACTGAATAGAATGAGGGACAGATATTCTGTCTCTAACAGAATCTGACTGAGTTGGATTTTAATAAAAGTATGTGGAAAGGAGATGGCTCACAACAAGAGACTGAAAAAAGACCCACCAGCAGGAATCAGACAAGATGAAAAAATAGCAGAAGCAAGGGAGAGTGAGAAGAATTAGTAGGTAGACAAGGGCTAACAACAAAGAGACAGCATGCAATCAAGAGATGGTCTGGGACTAGTCAGGCCTAAATATTTGATCGAAAAGACAGAATCAGTGCTGCACTAGAGACTAGTTTGAGGCAGGGAAAAGCTGGAAGTACAGGCAAAAACCTAAAAAAAGTGTTTGTCTTCAGAAGCTATTAAAAAACGTAAAACAAAACACCCTAAAGACTTAACATCCTCTGCAAGTATCTGCAATCTTCTTTCTCCTCTTAAGAAAAAATATCCCCCTTTCCACTAATACTGATAAAATTACCACGTAAGAAGCCATAACTTTGTTCCTTTCTTAACTCAATCAAGAGTAATATTCATGCACTAAATTTAAAGCTCTAATCCTGCTAATTATTAACTTGACACCCGTACCACAAAACATCTAATTTTGCTATTTTTAGGTTGATTTTGACTAGAAAATTACACCTTGAAACAGTTTTATAGGATATTAAACAAATATTTACAGGATATTAAACAACCAGGGCATTTTAATTCCTTGGACATCAGAAATTCCTCAATTTAACTTTATCTACTAGAATTAATATTCTGTCTTCATTACATTATGCCAAACTCTTTTTTCTATGCTATCTCATTCAATTAACAGGATATTTTCTGGGAATATATCCAAGTTTTATCTTGAAGGATGACACTCCCTTCAAAACCCTGCATTCAATATTATGGAACCTAAATGTTACATAGGAGAACAGGTTTTTAATCTGAGCTTTTGCCAAAGGATCCTTAGCTGGTTGCATTTATTACGTTATTGTGTATCGATATAAATCACAAGACTTTAGGACTTCTCTAAGCTTTTGTATTATTGAAAAAAGGAAGTTTAACTCCATTCCCTCTCCAGTACTCCCTAACTGCTTATTGCAATTAATTGGATCCATTTTGCAACTTCAGAATGCTAAACAGAAATATACTAAGAGCAGCAATTATCAAATAAAGCACAGGTGCAAGCTTCTTCTCAAATCACTATAAATAAAGATGTCTGTATTCTCAGTTTTAACACATAAGCCAAAGAAACCATGCAAACAACCCTGCCAACATATACTGCCTTTTGACTCCAAGAAATCTGCACTGTTGTTTAGAAGATACTTTTTTTCTTCCTCTGAAAGAAAATACTTTATTTCATTGCTTTTTCTTATCAATTTATTTTATCGTAAGAGAACAGTCACAACATATCCTAAAATAAAGCACTCTCTAAATGAAAGATCTAGAATTAATATATAGAATGAATATACGAATACTAACAAGATTTTAATTTGAGGCACTGGGAGAATCTAAAGAGTAAAATAAATAGGTTGGCAATAACTGTATTGAAGTATAACTCACCAAAAATACAAATTAGTAGGGCTAAATACTATTTTGTTGCAGCCTCAGTTCAAAAGCACTAGTCTTCAGAACATTTTAAAGACATTCTGAAGGCTAACTACAGAGTTATAAAGTCTGTCTTAAAAAGCTGAACCAGGGATACATGCAGCTTAGGGTAGGTCTCTTGATTTAAGTAGTTCTGATTGCAGTATCTACTTTCACCTGTTACCTACACAGTTCTGAGGTCCATACTGTGTATCTTGACTCCAACACAGTTTACCATGCAACATACCATTCCAAGAAGTCAATACACATTTCATTATCCCATGACTAAAAACTGACAGATTAGGCCCAACTTCACAATGTTCATTGAAACAGAACTTCAGAAACTGATTCTTGAACAAAGGAAGGAAGCTCTGGTCTTTGTTTCTCTACTGTAGCTAATGTTTAAACTTACTCCATCAAGCTGTGGCTCAAAAATCCAATTATTTAGATTTGGAGATTTCAGAGTTTCCAAGGCGTTAAAAAAAACCCAAAACATAATACATTGTTTGCAGTTTTCTACTGAATGGTATTCCAACACAATGACACATCTTAGTTTCTAAAATAATTTCAGGTAACTGTTTTTTGTGTAACTGCCTATAGTATCCATGTATAGCTAAAAAAAACCCTGGATCTAGTACAGCTGGTTCCTCCACCTCCTCATTTATTATCTCCTTGAAAGAGGGGGAAACAACTGATCTTTACTTTCCAAGGAGAATAACACTTGCTATTCATGCACACATCTGTACAGCGCTGATTAGAAATCTCTGCCAAAACAAACAACAGCAAGCAGCTACCTGACTGTTTGCTGTGTTAAGTCGTACCAGCAATCTTTTTTGTTTTGTGGAAAGCAACCCAATGTCCAAGATCAGCAAGAAATTTATTGTCAGCAGGAATAAGTTCAATGTTACTGCATGCTGCACACACTCAGACCCATATTTTCACAAGAAGGCTATAAATGCAGCCAGCAGCCCTCTTTTACTCTCCATCTGTCACAGCTCAGGGCAGCTTGAATGCAATAAGGTTGCTCCCATGAAGACTTTGAACACTCCTAAATACATAAATGGCAGACTTATGGACAGATAAGAATAGTATTCTAGGGTCCTGTTTCATCATCAAGGACAACAGCCAGAACAGTAGTAATGTTTCAAAATACACAACTAAAAAAACCCTATCGACTGAAAAATGCTTACCTGCTGAGCTAAGCAAAACACTGAAGTCCGTTCCTCTCTGTGATTCCCCATGTTCATTCTGTCCCTCTTTTTCTGTATCCTCATAGCGGTTCCAGTTAGAAAATAACTTTCTTCTTGAATAGCATTTCACTTCTTCCTTCTCTTCTTCCTGTCGGGATTCGGTATCATCATCCTGCGCTACCTGTGACATTTAAATGGACAGCTAAGCCATTGCAATTCAACAGTAATTCGTTCTGTATTTAAACTATCGTTCATACAAACAACTCCAACCACTGAAGTAAAACCCAGAATGACAAATTTACCTGGATCTCCATCAACATTTTAGATCAGGTGTTACTATCTTCTTGAAGTGTACGTAATTCATCAGTGGTGTATGTAATTCAAAGCACCTAGTGAAGCTCCAGCTCTAGTGAAGCTCCAGCTCTTACAGGGGTCAAGTGGTCACACTGATGCAAGTTCCACTGCTTTCCCTCCCATTCTGGAAACCCATAACACATAGCTTCCTTCCTAAAACTGGTAATGGGTAGGGAGGAGAACTAAGAATTTAATCCCAGTATCTCTGTGCAAGTCTTGCAGTGATATAGATGATAACTGAAAAGCTGATGATTGTAGAGCAGAATAGGAAAAGACAAAAAATTCTGCAGAGAAACATCTTGAAAATGGTTATGTACATAAGAATTTCCATAATAACCAAGTACAGTGTCTTACATCAAGTAATATGGAATAATTAATCAAATTAATTTCCTTCAGGAAAGCCATTTAACAGAAATAGACATGAAAAAATTAAATAGGCTAGCAGTCAGTCTACTAGCCTAACCTCTTAAAAAGCTCTAGGGTCAAAAAGAGAACTCATTGCAGAGTCAACTTAAGATACAAGTGAAACAGGCATTTGCCACAAGTGCTTAACAGCTCTTGTCTTGAATCCTCTACATATGCAGTTCTCCCAGAGCTGGAGGTTCAGCTGGAATAAACGTTGGTTCACAAACAGAAATATTTGCTTCCTGGAGGAAAGAGCACTCAACAAGCAAGAAGAGAACTGAGACCAACCAGAAAAGTTCTGTACAAGATATTTTCTGCAAAGGTTTAAAGCTCTGAAGAGCTGGAGTAAAGGTGCTGAGAGAGAAGAGGTTCCCATCATGTTGGCTCCCAAACATTCCTGCTGACAGTTCTGCTCTCTCTTCTCTCCTTTACTCCATCTCTCCTTTCAAACCACAGTGTATTGACGCCATAGGATTAAATTTTGCTGTCCCAACAATAAGTACATTCTTCATGTCAAGAACAGCAAAATTCCATGTTAATATACACTACTGTAAAGCTTAAAGCCATCTCCATTCAGTGTAAACTAATTTCAAAAGCAAGAAACCTTTCATTAAGTCACTATATACCCATAAGCCAAAACAACCTTACAACAAGCTCCCCATCAGATACTGGCTTTAAGGAGGACTTTGGCTTCCATAGTTTAAACCAAATGTAATCCTGAAATAAATGTGAAAGGAAACTATGTTTAAACAAGGCCCCGTAAGTTAAAAGCTGCAACATCTTGTCCAGAAGCATTACCAAATCTCTAGTAGTTACTGTGTTTCTAAAACTACATTAGGGTTTGTGTTTTTTAAGCACGCACTGTGAATATCCATATGGTACAGTATTGGACAACCTGGTGAAAACAACTGCACAAGGCCACTATCAGGAACAAATCACTACCACTTTTCTAACTTGCTTTAGAATGAACAAGTTAGTTTCATAGAAAGGACACAGAGCAATGCAACATGTGTTTTAAACTGATTTCAGAAACTCATTGCAAAGAAGCTCTGGAGTCCTCAGCATAAGAATGACATGTACCTGTTGGAGCTTAACTGTCCCTTCCAATTCAAGTCATTTTATGATTCAACAATCCCTGGAGGTATTTAAAAGAGGTATAGATGCGGGGCCTAGGGACATGGTTTAGTGGCAGCCTCGGCAGAGTTTGGTTAATAGTTGGACTTGATCTCAAAAGTCTTTCCAATCTAAATGATTTCACAGTTCTGTGATTGTGAGAGTCTGGATTTTCCCATGTTTGATATCTTAAATATGACTGCCCAGCATATCATAAAAGTAGCAAAATCATAATCCACCAAACTTCATAAGCAAGCTTCTTTCAGCATTGTTTGAGAAATTTGGTTAAGAACAGCAGGAAGGAATGATAAAACCATTGAAGAGATTAAAAGCTGTCATAATTAACAAACACATTCCCAGTTGTCAAACAGCTGACAAGAAGAAAAATATTTTGTTCATTCTCATTGGTTCTGTGCAATTTTTAGGTAAATTCTCTTCTTTTTCTATTCATCCAATAAATACACTAAAATGGATGTTGTGGATAAATGGTTGTGTGGGCAAGGGGATGAAGTTGCAACTATATTATTGGAAACTGATGCAGAACTATAAAGGCCCGATCCACTCATATCCAGATAAAAATAAACTTATTTCTTTTCTGTTCTTCTCTATTAATTGAATGATTTGCTATAATCCAGCAAACCTAGTGAAACTCAGTGCCCGAAATAACTTGGAGCTGATATGATTCACAAGTCAAAGCAAGAATAATGCTACACAGATAGATCAATTTTTTACTTTGTTTTTAAGAAAAGATCTTAGGCAACTATGACACTATATATAATAATTACTTATTATAGACTTGTTTGAAGAATTCAGCCCTTTCAGCTGTCAATATAAACAAAACAGGAGTACCACTTTCTTATTTTAACAAGCTTTCAGTAAACTAATATGAATTCAAATGTTTGCTCTTACACTGGACTAAATTCTTTTTCACATTGTTACTAGCTATGTTATACAGTGCACCTGAAGGAAATTTCATTTCTTAGAAGTAAAATAGTTAACTTCAAGAAATAAACTACAAATTAATATTATATAGCAGTTATGCAGCCTGGTTCCCCATGTACTGTCCTGAGGCTTACTGTTGAAACGAATAAACTTCAAATACAAACCTGCTTCATTTCCAATAAACATTTAATGGAAAATTTTGCATGATGCACTGCCATGCTACAAGATAAAACTGCAAATAATCACTTTTGAATATTCAACATTCAGTCAACTTAAAGATGTGTATTAACCCTTAAAATTATCAAATATGTTCAAAAACTCTGATCAATGAAACTTTAGAAAATAATTTAATTCTACCATCTCACGGGACAGCTACTATCTAAAGTAACAACCTCAGAAATAAACATATACTTTAATTACCTTCCTCTTAGCTGCCTACTCAGCTACACTATATACTGCTACCATTGTCATCCCACCTTACAGAAAATGAGTCTTAATCAGTATAGAGCAAACATTTGTCCTATGCCTAATGAAATAACTTCCCTCCTGCCACACCCTCAAATAACAGATGATACAAGGTGAAACAAATTCCAGAAACCAACTCAAATATAACCTTTAAAACAGTATTACTTATGTAAGGAGAAAAACTTAAGCCTTTAAACAGTATTGAACTATATCTACACATTATTGCTCAGTGCTATAACGCATCATGATATTACAGAAGGCGTAAATGTCCACTTGCTGTGTTTCAGGTAGGATTACATGCATTATCATTTGCATGTTGCATTGAAATTTTGAAAGTGGGGAAAGTATGCAAAAGCCCAGTTGAATGAAACCTGAAACCTTCAGACTATTTTGCATATCAGAAGAACAAAAAGTATACATATTATTTTGCCTTAACGCTACCGTGCTCAAACAACAGTGAAAGAGCCAAGCCCCCTTGCAGGATTTAGGGTCTTCTGCCAAACAATGCATTTTTATCCTTTATCAGAGCCTATGACTCCACTTTTCTTCTAAAGAAAAGTTAAGTGAATAGCACAAATGACCCCAATCTACAATCTATCACAGCAAAAGGATACTTTAGTACACTATTTTTACATACATCTTTATGGACAGTATACTATTGAGAAAATACAGGAAAACATGGGTTTTTATTCAACTTTTCTTACATATGAGAACATGTTGATGTACATAGTTCAGGAATGAAGGTGTTAAAATGAAGTAAACATTGTTCTGAACAGGTAATTTCCCCTGGGGCCATCTTTCTGCACTTTCCTGGAACCCAGAGTGGTTTGGATCAAACCAAGGCTAAAGTACCCAATGGAGAAAGTGCAACAGTGACCTCTTACATCCCCCTTCAAGTACTCAACTGCTCTTCACTGGAAGTGCAATCACTCGCAGCATGTTAAGCATATATGTCCAAGCATTCAACAAGAATTGCTGAGCTCACAGCCCTTTAAAAAAAAACCCAAAAGTGCATTAAAAGTCAGAGCTTCCATTAAGACTTTCTAAAACTGTATTTATTACCCTTAGGAAGCCACAGGAGCTAAAGCTTATAGCCCTTTTCCTGTTCAATTCAGATAACTCTGTAAGAAAAGTTACAACACTTCAGTACTTAGAATATCCTACAGTAGCATAAACATCATATGTTCAGCTTACCTCACCTTGGGCCAACTGCACTTCCCCATTATGTAGGTGTCATGCATTTATTAGATTTCTGTTCTTATTTATTTTGTAGTATTTCTCTCAATTCTCTTACCAAAAATGTCACTTCACAGTATGTATGAAAACACAGTTGGAGCTTTTTTTGTTAATCTGTCTCTCCTTCACCGTCTTCCCAAATGATCTTTAGAAACTCTTCAGAATTATATTGATCAAATGCTACTTTACTCCTTTGTTACTTAACCTCTGTATTACTCTTCTGAATATTACACCTCCAACACATTCATATTTCCTTAATCTTTTCCATTCTTTACTAGGGACACTTACCTACAATACCCTAGACATCTTATACACCTACTCAGAGTCCACAATAAATAGCCACCACTGCCACATGTGGACACTGCACATTCACAGATAGTGATAACCACTATCTACTCCCTACATTTGCTGTTCTCACAACAAGCAACAGCACATACCAATTCCTTGAGCAAGCTTCTGTCTTGATTTCCTCTCCCTTCCTAAAAACTGCTGTACAGCTGTGGTCAAGTGCAAGGACATTTCTGCTTATCTGTATCAATCCCAATTTCTCTTCTCATCAGGGGAAAAGACTAGCAAGACAAAATGAAAATATCCTGTGGGTTGAATAGACTATCTGCTGCATCATGAGTGGTACATATCTTTTTCTCATTTATATTTGAAATAGTA